ATCACTAATCTTGCAACTTGTTATATAAAAGCCTGTGCTATAAGCTCAGGTGTCCACAGGCAATAGGCTTTTTAAGTCTATACACCACTAGTTAATTCATTTCCTGCAAAGTCTAGCCAATAATTTGCCAGAGGTATCACTGCCAAACATTGATTGCTCAAGTCAGAATAGATGACACAATGGGCTCCTCAGTCTGCCCACAGATCTGTGAGGGAGCCAGCCTTGACTGCATGACATCTCCGAATTGGATTTCCGATTAGAAGGGTTTAATGTAATTACCTTGAGTACATTGTGCAGTCTGCTCTAAGTAACACAGTGATGCATCACCTCGAGCTTCGTTGTAGCACTTGTCCCTTAAAGAAGGTGGCAGGCACGGGGGTCCCAGAGGGGGCAATATTATATTCTGATTGACAGCCAGTTCACATGCATGTGCTCCGCATTACAATAAGGGCGCAGAAAAAAAGCCACTTGTAGGCTTCTGAAAAGCAGCACATAGCCAGGCTGCAACTTTTATCTTAACAAGACTACAAGACACTTCCATCTAAAGGCAGACATATAGATAAAAGCTGATGCAGCTTTAAGGTGTAGGCTCTCGTCAACAACAAAGCTGTGTCTTGGTTGGATCCTAATGTTGCATACAGCACAATGGCTGTTTTGAATATGCACGCACTATGAAACTGCATCATATGGTTTCAGAACAATATCTTTCAGCCCAGGGAAATTCAACAATCCTGTTGTGGTAAGCCTATAATTCAGATAACATCTGCAAGACAAAATGAAACCCAGAACTTATCAGCTCTATTAGATTGTATCCTATTATTTAATATTACCCGGCAGCTCTCATCTGCACAAAGTTAAAGGGATGGTATGTCAAAAGAAGGCCCGGCTAAGCTGCCTCTTCATAACACTGGGAGGAATTTGATGCAATCTTACATTATCCACCACGGAGTAAGGGACTCGGGCTCATTACCAACGCCTTTACTTGAATATCTTCCATTTTAGGCCAATTTTGTCCTGTAGACCAGCACTCCAAATCAGTTTTTGGCATTTGAATCTGAGCATCTACTGGTCAATACTGTGGCACAGGTGGCATGTGGGAAAGGGTGACAGGTACTGTATACTGAACACTGTTTGCCTTCTTATCTCTAAATCAGAACGAGAAAAAGGGCGAAAATAATTGGTGACAACCGAAAGCCACGGCACAGCAGCTAAACCTTTCTAACCTTATATGGTAGGTTTTTTTTATAGATGTGAAAAACCACATCAAATGTTCATCTCACCAAGGACTTCCTCTTGTAACCACATCTGGCAAGCTTATATCTACAGGCAGCTGAACTGAGGAAAAAAAGGGGGATTCAAATCTAGAGCTGTTCCAAAAAAACATTTCCAAATAGTAAAATAATGCTGCTTAAAAATGAGAGTCTGCCTCAGACAGACTGGCTTTCCCCTCCACCTCCACCACCAGTGTGCGTTCAGGTCTAGACTGCGTGTAAGCAATTAATAATAAATCTGTATTAGTTGTTTAAAGGGACCGTGGGCTGTTCTGGTGCACATTTCTGTAGTGAAGTTGCACCATTACCTACCAGGCCAGCCCTCTTATGCACATTACAGTACAGCTGGCAGGGACACAGAGCTGGGAGCTAACAAAGAAGCATGCCACTGCTCCTGCGCTGCACTGGATTAGGTTGTGTTTGTTTGCTAATGCAAAGAAAAACAACAACAACAACATTGCTCTATGGAACCAGTGTTTTAAATACTATACTGGTAGCTATAACAGTGATCACACAGTAATTTGACAGGGAGCACAGTGCTGGCTGTCTCCCATTCAGCGATATCCGCCTCTTCCTCCCTGTTCCAGAGCCTACCTGAGCAGACTGGAGAGCGGATGAGAGGAGGCGCCGTGCCCGCCGCTGTTGCCACTTCCACCGGTCCCTGACGACCCGCTGCCGGTGCCGGCGGACTGTCGCTTCCCGGATAAAAGCTTCTCCACAGCGGCCAGGTTTCCCGTCCGCGCCGCCTCAAGAAGTTCCTGCTCCTTCCCCATCGCGGATCCCAGGGAAAAAAAACCAGAGGAGACGCGGGGGAAGAGAAGAAAAAAGGGGGGCTTGGTTGCGGGAGTGAAATTCCTCTGCGATCCCCCCCTTTTTTTTTTTTGGTTTGTTTTTTTGTTTTTTCCCTCCCAGCCTCAAGTTATTCCTCAGTACAGCAGCTGTGGCGAGGAAACAAAAAGCTCCCTGCTCCACCGCTGGATCCGTCCGTCCCGATCCACGGTGCCGCTGGCGCTCAATGGGGGGGGAAAAGTTTGGTTCAGCGGCACGGTACCACCATCGAGCAAACTTCCTCTGACCAGTCCCCCGAGCCTCGTCCGTCACTTCCTCGAAACTGCCCTTTCTTTCTGCATCTCCAATCCGAAACCCTTCAGACACACGCACACACAAACCCCTAGCGCCCCCGCCCCAGCTGCTTTATAAAAGAGAGGGATTGGCCACGAGCAAGGCGGCGCATGGGCAGAGAGCCACGATGAGTCCCATCCAGTGTTATCTGTTGCTGTCTAGAGTCCAGGGCAACAACATGTCTTAACCTTTTTATTTACTGTTATTAGACACTCATGTGTTATTTACCGTAGACTATAGTTAAAAAGACGTGTCAGAAACCTGAATTTACTTTGAAAATGTGCAGGAAATTGAACAATTGTCGACTGGTTAATAAGTAGGAAGCATTGTGGGAATGTGTGTCACCTCCCCTCCGGGCTGTGAGCACGAACATTTCACAACACCTGGTCAGGTGACAGCCTCACAGTAAACAGTATCAGAATCTGAATCAGAAGTACTTTAATAATCCCAGGGGGAAATTATTTTTTGTTACAAAACTCCAGATATACAAACAACATACATTATACAAGCAACATCTATTAAGAACAAAATATACATATATATATAAAAGATCAAATTTACAGTTTAATATATATAAAAGATCAAATTTACAGTTTAATAATGTGCAAAAAAAAAGTGCAAAAAGTGATTGTCCGTAGGGATAATGGATTTGATTGGCTCTGATGTCGTTTGGAACTTGTGTTTTAAGAGTTAAACAGATAACTGTATTTAAAAAAAAAAGTCCCAAACATTAAAAAACCACAATAAACGACTTTATTTATTATTTAAAATGTATTTTTAATGCTAATGTACGATGTGTGTTTATTGCTTGTTGACAGCGTGTCTATAAAGTTCGTTCAAAACAGGAAACGGAAATACGAATACCAGGCTATCAGTAAGCGTAGAAAAGTAGCATTTGGATGCTATCGCTCCTCTTAGGCTCGCAGGAGTTGTTTGAATTGCATTTAACTGCAGCTAAGTGCGATAATATTAGCGTTATGTGTTAACCTTAACGCTAGATAACGTAAATTACTAACTAAACAAGCTAGTTAGAGTTAGCTCACCGCCACTGTGGCTATTGCTGCAGAGAAGGTAGGTGCATGTTGTATTGCATTGTTTATCTAAATGTGATTATTAACGAACTGTATGGGGCTAAACTACTTTTCATCTGATTATACACGGTCAAAGCTGTCAGTCACTGCTGGGAGGGATTGAGGCGTTATGGCCGACCCTGCACGGATCAAACCTGAGGTTACCTCCGAGAGAGCAACGTCTGCCAACGAGGAGCATCCGAAATCCGAGGAGCCTGAAGATGTGCCAGCCACAGCGAAACCTACGGATGAACACAAAGAGTCATCCTCGCAAGATGAGCCCAAACTGGAGGTTAAATGTGTGAGTTCTGGGGCTGAAATGAAAGACAAATGGACCATATCGAAGTTATTAATAACGCTAGCTTTGCAACCATGCATACCAGGGCTGGGAATACTTTATTTGTGTACACTGTTGCCACCATAACATTTGAAATAGGTTTTTGAACTTTAAATTAGAGTTTGAATTAAAGTCAATATTTTAAGATTAAAACAAACTAAAAAAACCTCATCAGCAACAGTTACAAGAGCCCAATTAGTCTGTTCTAGCAGCCACTCTCAACAGGCATTATTTAATATTGAACAGTTTGAGAAGCTGAAAGATTTTTGTACTTTAATTCATAAATGAGAATCAGTTATCAAACGTGGAATCTACTGTGTGTGGATACAATATTTGATCAGTGGATAATTTGTGCTAACACTTGCAGCTCTTTTGTGTGGATTCAAAAAAACAGTTTTTGTCTTCCACTGTGAAGGAAAGTCAGGCAGCTGGGGAAGACGAGGAAGAAGGAACCTCCGGCCAACCCAACGCCAAAAGACTGAAGGTGGAACCAGAAAAGAAAAAGGAGAAGCGCCACAAGGTTGATGAGGATGAAATTCAAAAGATGCAGTAAGACTGAGATTTCTAACAGAAGATCAATCATATAAAATAACATTGTGTTGAAGTCTCATCCCAGCAAACATCCCCAATGTTCTTTTTGTCTTACAGGGTTTTGGTGTCGTCATTTTCTGAGGAGCAGCTGAATCGATATGAGATGTACCGACGTTCTGCTTTCCCTAAAGCTGCTATTAAAAGGGTAAACATTTATTAACATTGATAGTGTTTTTAATCTCTGAAACTACTCTATTGGCTTGACTTTTTTTTGTGTGTTTTTTTTTTTTCTAGCTGATCCAGTCCATAACAGGATCATCAGTGTCCCAGAATGTGGTGATTGCCATGTCTGGTATTTCCAAGGTTTTTGCTGGGGAAATTGTTGAGGAAGGTGAGGGGCAGACGTACAAAATGGAGAATGTTCAGACCAAATAAACAAACAAATGAATGAGACATTTTTATTTGGTAACTTCCTGCAGTTAAAATGATATTCATTTAATTAATTTGTCTTTGTCCTTACAGCGTTGGACGTTTGTGAGAAGTGGGGAGATACACCACCACTGCAGCCCAAGCATATGAGGGAAGCAGTGAGGAGGTTGAAGAGCAAAGATCAGATTCCTAACTCCAAGTACAAGCACATTCTCTTCCACTGAGGATGTGCTGTAGATTGTATGGGAACTCTGACCGGTAAATGCTTGATGTAACATACAGTTCAGATAGTGTAATTATACTCATGCATTACGGTTGTAAATACATTGTTTTATACTTGTGAAATGTTTCATTCTTGTTACTTCATTAAAGAACCAGTGAACTTTTGGTGGGAAAATTGTGTGATGCCTTGAAGTTTAAATTTTTAAAAAAAAATCATTTTCACGAGGGTCGTGGGCCAATAGGGTGGCCAGGGTATAATGGTATGGAACCTTTTTCTAGATTAACAGGGAAATTTGACTCTTTTTATTCAGTTCAACTTTGAATTTTATTTAGTTTGTCTCACTATACCAAGATAAAATGTTTAAAATTGTGTTTGGAAATATGTACATATGAACAAACTATGGACCACACTACTAAAATAACTGGAGTGAGACTTGAATGTACATGTTTCTGTAGACTTTATGAATAGATTTGTTACACGTAAACATGCATGTTCTGTTCAAACTTAGAGGCACAACTGATATGTGTTCAGCAATTAATCATTTATTCTTTCACTTTTAAAATACTTTCCACATACTAGCTTTGGTTCACAGAACCAGTTTTCATATTAGTCTCAATGACGTGATAAAGACAATACAAAAAATTCAATGTAACTACACAACTGACAAAAATACTGTTCACAGGGTCTCCAACATTTGCGTCACTTAGGAAGATTTCACAAGGTCCTCTGCAATCCCGTGAAGTGATTTACATTAAAACAAGTGCAATTTCCAGTGAATTTATCACACAAGTGCAAGTAATTCACAAGGCATAAAACTATACATCACTTTAGTACATGCATCTGCTTTCCAGTGGCAAACATTTTGCCAGGTCAGTCATATGAAAAGGAGAACGAACACTCATCCTGATGTGTCCTGCTTCACTCTCCACCCATCGCCTCCTTTTTGCATGTTTTTGAGCAGACAGAACTCTGAGCACCAGTTTGTCAGCAGAAAATGGATGCTACTTAACACTGACTGAGGGGAGGGAAACTGGATAAACTTTACAGCTACATGTTGCATCCAGCATGGGAAGTTTAACTTCGTACCACTGTATCTTTGTCTACTAAGGCCATGCAAAAAACATAAACATCAAAAGCTGAGAAGATCACAACTATAAGTGATACTGAGGTTAAAGGGCAGTATCTCTGCTTTATTACACTGATACAGTAATAATGTGGTGTGTACACATGCAGATGAGAAAAACATTCAATCCTGGTGAACAGGTAAATCATTTTTCTTTTATACTAGTCACCTTAAAAAATATGAAGGATTCCACATCAAAATGTGTAGTGTTACTGTTCTTTGTCGTGTTTTTGGTTACACTAAAGCTGTCTTTCTATTGCTTAAATATTTTACATTCCTCTTCAAGAATGCAATCTGTCATCCATAGTATGCAAGGTAACCAAAGTAAAAAAAAAAAAAAAGAAACATGTTATTTTGAACGGGGAGTGCTCTGGCAAGTCACAGCCACCAGGGGTCTCCCAAGCACTCGATGGGACAGTGATGAACGATGTGAAAGGTAGTTCTTCTAACAGCTGTGCAACCACTAAGATAAAGTACCTCCAAAGGATAAACAGTTACAATAGAACATTTGTACATAAAATGTAGCTCATAGAGAGGTTGTTATACTGTTAAATTCTCTTTGATGAACAAAACCATCATTGTTTAAATCTATGCATATAACAGATTTATGCATAGAAAAAGGAAAGTAACAGGAATTTAAATGTCAACTGGCCTGATAGATCAAATCTGCAGCACATTAGGATTAAATTTACTGAAAATGACCAGTTTTTGTAATGAAACTGAGCATTAATATTACATACTGTGTGCGCATACATTAGAAGTGCGCCACACTTTTTTCCAATGTCATTTTCTTTGATTGATATGGCTTTAATACACTGTAAAGTAACTCCGGTCTAACAAAAACACATGCTTTGACAAATCTAAATAAATATACACAAGTAAAACAACACCCTGAATGAGCTTTAAGTTTATGATGTCTGACCACTACACTACACTACTGTATATATGATAAATGTGCACAGAGGTAATAATAACACTAGCAGTCTGAGATGTTTCCTAGCAAGCTAAAAAACTAGTTTTAAGGAGATCAAGTAATATAACTCTGGTGGCTGGAATAATCCCAAACCTCTTTAAACCAGAGAGTTGGAGTGAAAAGACTAACCCAGTTACAATACTGAAGCTACTGTGCAACCTGCTCTCCACAGCTGAGGGAGCGATCGAAAGGCGCGTCATCTTGAGTGGACATTCAACCACAGAGCACATTGTTTCACAGTACAAAAGAAGCAAGACCAACATTTCACAACACAAAGAAAAATAACACTGGGGAATGATTCAACCCGCTTTCTGAGAACGGTGAGAATTTGATAAGAGTGTGTAACCATTCCACCCTGGTGATAAAGCAACCAAGGTGGAAATTAAGATGCATCCATCTCTCCATGAAAGCAATGTTCTGCTTTCTTAAAAAAAAAAAGTGCAATGTTTTTCCTACCCTTTACAACACATTTGTAACAGCTGACAATATAATACTTTTAAATAAAAATGAACACACACACCTAACAGAAGTAATCTATATTACTACGTCTATGTAGCTTTATGACTATGCTATATGTAAATTAGCACTGCTAGACAGTGATTTGTGTTTTGTAGGAGCGCCTGATAGAGTAGCAGCTGTCTGGCAGTGTCAGTGCACACGAAGAGGAGGTTTTGGCATGTAATTAACTGGAGAGAATTAAAGCTCGATGATATTCACTTGCATGCTGTGTGACAAACACTGAAACCATACAATGAGTTTACTGTCAACACTGATTTGGATGATAAATAACCAGAATACTTTGTGTTTAGTACAGAAGTGAGGAACAGACTAGACTAGACTGACAGATTAAAAAAAGAAAAAATAGTACCATTAGTGTACCTGTATATTAGTTCCCTAGATTCCCCTTTCGGTAATTGTTATAGGGGCTCTTTTATAATCTCATGTAGAGTGTGATATAGCATGTGGGAAGTGATCCTAAGCCACAACTTGGATTCATCATATTTTCATCCATGTCCAATGACCAGACGTACTCTGAATGAGTTTGGCTGGTTCCTGACATTCAGACTGATACATCCCATCACTGTTCCTGAGCAGGAGCAGTGACGCAGTTGGTTCAGAGGTGAAAGACAGGGAGGCTCAGAGAGTAAACATGGGGTCATACTTCTTGACTTCCAGAAGGAGGCGTTCTCTGTCACTGAGGGCCTGGTTGAGAGCAGCCTGGACACCAGAGAGCTGCGACTCCAGGGTTTGGCTCTGTAACGGCAGGATTATTGGATTGGTTAGCTCCAGCTACAGCTAGTGTACGCTTTGGCTACGTGCTACACGCCAAGTGGGCGGAAATCAGATTCTGACTGACAGCAACAGGTGTAATTACAACACCATTAGAAAATCTTGTGTACTTGGTCACCTCTCTGTGCTGTCCATCTTAGAGCTGACCAGTAACAGGACACCAGTATTACAGCTGTATTTAAGACCCAACAGATTACTGTAGTTTTAAACATAAGTAGAATCTGTGAATCTAATTCAGCTGAGGTTAGAATATCTTGATCTGACCAATAAAAAAATAAAGAAACAAAAGGCCCTGTGGAATAATACTTTAGAGCTATACAGAGACTCATGGTTGATACAGTGCTGATATTCATTTACACAAATTACAATACTAGACAAAGAGGTCCTTTTGTTTGTTGGATCCCTAAGCTGTGACTGTGATACAGACGGGGCCAAACTACCACTGAGGTCATGTAATCTAAATGTTAGGGGGAATGTGGATGTGGAAAAAGTCTGCAGGATAATAATCAGCGACTACATTAACTCTTATTTTCTAGTACATTATTTTCTGTGAGGTATATGGCTTTATATAAATATAAGTATATATGTTTTGGTGTGGAGAAACAAAAGGGTCATAGTTGCCAAATTTGGTAAATAAAATAAAATGAAATGAACAGTGCAATTCACTATCAGCACTGTTTAAAGAGGCCTCCTTTCTTTGCTTCAATGTTTTATTGTCAAATGCATACAAAAAACACTATTTAATGTAGTTAAATGTTGGGAATGTTTAAAAAGTACAACTTGGCAATTTATCGAACTGACCAAGCAAAAAAAACAAAAAAAACATCCTATCTAATCAATGTAGGAGTGATGACCACAGTATTTCTAAAATCCTGGCTACGCCCCTTGCAACAGTCACACTTGGCTGACACATACACAGAATATGGCGCTGCTTGCTCTCCCCTACCTCACTCTGCTGTCCCACAGAGCAGGAACTGTTTGGGTCGTCCAGGCCAACCGCAGGAACACCTGCTGAGGCTTTAGGGTCTGTACCTTCAGCTGCAATCAAAAAGGAAATGGTGAAGATCACTTTCTGTTCATCTTTCTGTGAAGTCGTTACAGCAGATACTGTCAGCTGGAGTGTTGGTGGTTTTCCAGTTCATTATCATGCTAATATTTGGGTGTACCCACCAAACTGACAAGCATTACATTTCTCACACTGCACAAAGTTTAAGTAAAAACAAAATAATTTATTTTCTTGCTTACCTTTGAGCCTCATTAAGCCATCATCACTGCGCTCAAGGAGCAGCTGATCTACAATGAATGAAGCTGGGACAGATTGAGGGGCTGTAGGGTAGATTTTAGGGCTATCATCCTAAAAGAAACAAAAAAGGGATGGATCCTGACTGTTAATAACATACCTCAACACTGGCTATACATTACTGTTTAAGTCTTTTTGCTCAAAAAGATTGCAGTCTGTCCAAAGGTTCAATTCAGTTTACTGTATTTCACCATCATAATCCACTCAGTATTGCCACTGCCTTACAAGGAGTCCTGGGTATACTAAAAACAAATAAAACTGGTTGATATCTTTCAATTAAGTGGATTGTCCTCAAAAGTCAGATTTTTTGTTAGAATTTCTTATATAATATAATAATATGATATATAATCATATACACAATAATGTAAAAGGGATTTTTTTACTAACTAACTACTTATAACCAACAGGTTCAAAATGAGTTGACAGTATCAACAACACACCTTGACAGTGATGGTGATGTTGCTCATGTGTAACTTCATTGGCTGACCATCAACACTGAATTCATCTTCCAGGAATGGACCGATGTTAGCCACTGTGGAGGCTAACAGCTCTGCCTTGAAGTCTTGCACTCTCATATCCACGAAGCCCAAAGACTCGGCAAGGGAAGCGTGTCGGCCTGCAGCTGGACCCATTTCCGCTCGCATGCACACTGCTGGAGAGCTCCTGCTACCCTGCTTCTGGACTGGTCCACCTGGAGCTGCGGAAACGAGAAGGTAGGAAGAAGAATGTACATTTGTAAGCCTGGAGCTTTAAAGTGCCCACACTTTACACTGCAACTTGTTCCAGCATCCTTTCCATACTGGAACCTGATCAGCTTTTTCTTGAGTTGAGACAATGTGCTTACGTGCAGTAACTAAACTGTAATATAGAGGTATTTTATAAGATGAGGCAAAATGTTTATTTGACGATGATTACACTGTTCAACTCTGTGCACCATCAATGTTTTGTTTTTTGTAAAATGTTACTTTAAGGTGCCAAGCAAAACCATAGACCAGGATTGATTGACATTTTTTTTGCCCTTTTTCTTAAACTTAGGATTAGCATCAAACCGATAAGTCGACTAGAATATGCATATGACTGGTAAAGAGTGATGTGATTAGAGTTGTAGCATTGATGAGCAGCGGTCTGAAATTATTTTTCAAAAGTTTGTTGATAGGAAACAAACTGCATGGCAACAATAATTCAGGTTACCTTGTATGAGGCCAGCCATCAGGTCTGATACCCTGATATTGCCCATCTGCACAGGGCTCAGATTCTGGGTTTCTACAGCCACAACTTGGTCTTCTCCCTTTACTTCCATGGTACAGGCTGTTCCACTCAGGATCAGCAACAACACTGAGGACTGTAAGAATAGCACATCACAATGAAGTTACATTTAAACCACTGTTGGTTTAGATTTGAAATGAAGGCTTGAAGGACAAGAAGTGAAAGTGAAATCTGTTGTATTATCATACTTAACCCACCATATCCTGAGATACGTCCTCAGTACTTTGGGACAGAGAACTGCTGAGGTCAGCTGATGAACCTCCCTCTGTCCCCGGAGCCGGGCTGCCTCGACTGCCGGCGGGAGTGTTGTTGGGACGCATGGACTCCATACCTGACTCTGGAGACATGATACAAACTTACAGTAGATGTCCCCTGTGTAATTCAGAGAAATTGCTATGGCAACATGGTGGTATTTTAAGCACCTGAGTCCATGAGAACAACAAAATTGTCGCTGATATCACTATCCACAGAAAGATTCTCATCGGGCAGGCTGCCATCCAGGATAGCACTATCAAAAGAATGCTGGGAAGGCGACTGCTTCATGGATTGGTGGCGCAGGCTGGCAGCCAGAGATTCCTCTGAACGCTGGACCAGTTCCCTATGAACACACACACACGCAAATACACACACACAGTCGTCAAGGGACAGCCAGTAAAAGCATGTTGTGCACAGCATGGGCTCCAGACACACAAACACTATTATGCTGCCATCAGCCCAGCAGGAGAGCACTAGCACTTACTTTGCCTGCGGACTGAACAATTTGCTCATCCCTGAGCCACGACTCAGCATGCTAAAGGCGTCTTTCGTAATAGAAAACGCCCCTTTGGTCAGGTCCAGCGAGGCACTAAAGGCATCTTTGGTCACATCCTTGGTGACATTAATGGCGCTTGACAGCTCTCCCTCCAGGCTAAAGGTGGATGGTTCCCGGGAGAGGACCGGGGAGTGTCCAGGTGAGAGTTGAGGTGAGAGAACGGGGGTGTCCTCCTGTGCCGTTAAACCATCCGGCACCTCCTCCACAGCCTCACATGCCTCCTCCACCACGCCATCTTGTTCATCCTGAGCAAACGCAGTATTGACGGAGGAGATGCCATTTTCTAACCCATTGTCCTCATGGATCACATCTGTGGAGTGATGAGTGGGAGAGATGTCAGAGTCTGTTATGCTGGGGCTGTCTGACTCTGGGGTGTGGGGGACCTCTTCCTCAGGCTCTGAGCAGACTGGCGGCAACAGGAGACCCAATTCTGTAGAGTCCACCAGGAGGGCAAGACAAACTGTAGAAGGTTTTGTCTTCTGGCCGTGAGCCTGCTTAACATCTCGTAGATCACGTCCCAATTCTGCCCCCAACCGAGCCATGGCATCCTTCATTCTCAGCAGGGCAACATACTGGTAGTGGTTTAGCCACATCTTCACTGGAGTGATGGTGTGGGCCAGGAAGTGGAAAGAGGCAAGTGAAGCGTCTTCCTGCGCTGAGAAAGGCTGGTTGGCTCTGTCGGGACTGGAAGACGGTGAGCCATTTTTAAAGGCAGAGGGCTGACACATCCACACAGACATGGCAAAAGGCTCAACAAAAGGTTGGGTTCTGCCTTTGGGGAATCGCCGAGCTCCATCAAAACCTAGGGTCACACGAGACAGACTGAGAGACCAGACATCCTGGGATCGTAAGTGCTTTCTGTCCAGAGGTTGGGGCTCGGCTTCTTGAGAGTGCTGGATGAAGGTGGACGGGGTGGGGTGGAAGGCACTCTGGTCCCTGGGATAGGGGCAGGGAGGTGTGGGCTGGAAGAAAGAGCAGCTGGCAAACTTGTCATAGGTGCTATTGAGGTCAGCTCTGGAGCCATGAGGGCAGTGGCGGGTGTTGCTGAGTGCCATCTGTGGTACAGTAACAGAAAGGGACTGTGGGCGCTCTGGGTGGTCCAATATGGAAGAATCCAAGGGGATTATCAGCTTTAGAAAGGAACAAAAAAAACTGTCACATAAACCAGCAACTTACAGACGTTTGTATGAAATGCAACAGACTCCAATAAGACAAAAACAGGCTACATAAACCTTTTAAATATAAACAAATGAGCCATTAACATGTAAAAACATTTGTGTACTCACCTTGAGCTGAGCTGCATCCATGCGGATGTCTACATGCTCATCAGCCTTGTTGCTGTCTTGCAAATGGTAGAAAGCTTTGACCTGGTCCAGGGTGTGCAGCAGACCCCGGGAGAACAGATTGATCCACAGCACGCTGGCTGGGTCCACACAGAGCTGCAGGCCATTCAGCTGGGCATACAGATTTGATGTGGGCACTGGGAGAAGGAAAAAAGGTGAGAGATGCTGATATTTGCATGTGATCATTTGTAACTATGGCATTAATTACACAACCAATCAGAATATTAACACAAAAATGGATTTGGATGGATGGTTAAGTTACATGATACCTGATAAACTGGGGTTGTCAGGAAAGTAGTACTCAGTAAACTGCAGATGAACTGCTGGTACATTGTCTGGCAAACGCAGAGCTTTACGGTTGCAGGATAATAAAGACTGGGTCTTCTTGTTTTGACGGCCTCTCGTAGACACCTGAATGTTGAGGTGCAGAGGTTAGAACAGTGGTGGAAATATTGGGTTCGATATATATCTGCTTCATTAAAAGACACAATAAAGAAAGTACAACTATGTGGCACATAACAGAACTGAACCACCTGAGCCTGAACATCACTGACTTCCTGTGATAAACTGAAGGTGGAGACCCAGACATGCACAGAATTCCCCCGGGTGCCTCTTGTTCTATAAAATGGGGAACTACAAGTGGGGATGTTGTGTTGTTTCATGTTGAAAAGTGTCAACTGTTCAAAGTGAAAATGCAGAAGCAGCCTGGGTGTAATTTAAAGTGGCAGGGGGTTTCAGCCTCAGATGAAAAGCACTGGAGCAGCCAAGTGAAGTGACATTTATGGGATTATTCTATTCTTAATAATTTTATTGTATTGTACTGTATTTTAATTAAGGAATACTTTTGCTTAAAACTTCTGGATTTTTTACAAGGCTGTAGTTATTAGTATAGCAAATATTACACAATATCTTCTATTGCTCCAGAGGGGCTATTGGATGTCAGACATTTACACATCAGAACATTAATATAACAAATCAAAAATCAGATAAAACATATCAGATAGCTGGTTTGAAAGAGACTATTGTTTCCTCTGTAAAGCCCATTGGGCAGATCCTGCTGGGCTGCTAATCTAACACGCATTTTTCCAGTTTGAGCTGACTGCAAGTGATGAGGACACTGCGGCACATATTACCCGCATCAGCTAGCTAGTCAACCGTGGTGCTACGGTTGTGGAGATAAGTCAATAATATACACACATCGTTCTTAAAAATGATCATTGGTGTGTGTGTGTTTAAAAAAAGTCACTTCTCAGGCTCCAGCTTGACAATGCTTGTGGTCAGTAATTAGACATGCTGAAACCACTTTGTCACATCTTTATTATCAACTAATCATCCTCTCCATACACACACACATTATCCAAAGCCTATACTTGTGATTGCCATGGTAACAGCTGTAAATAGTTATGTCAGGAATGAAATCCACAGAAGGAAAATGGAGGTAACATCTGAAAATATAGTTTTATTAATTTCCTTAAGAGACAATGATAAGGGAGTTATCGATATTGTCCTGTTTTATGATCAACTATCCATTTAAGATTTTACTATCATAAACTCCCCTGTATTAATACCATCCATGACTAACTATGGTTATTATAAATAAGTCCAAAACCTGCTTTGTCACTCCAAATCTCCCAAATGCAAAGCGATTTCTAGCCTTGTCTGAGGTGCTGCCTTACTGCTTCCACTGTCCATTTACTGAAGTGAGGCTTCTGTTAAACCAGGTAAATCAAATCAGTTGATGATTAAAGCTTGCCTGGTGAATGTCCACGTCATCCATCCTGACCACCACACAGCTAGATCGTAGCCTCTTCAGTGATGACCCTGGAGGACCTTTGACAGAGTTCCTGTTGGATGCCTGCTCTGTTTCAGGGGGGCTCGACTTGGGACTAGATTGTCCATCTAAAGTAGGTACACGGGAGAGAAAACACTTTGTGACAAGCAGAAATGAATCATCCGTTCGAAATAAACCAGGCCTGCGCAGAATCGATCCGACAATTGCCACACAATGCTGACTTGCTCCGACATCATGCATACGTGGGCAATAATACCTTCACAAAATCGAGGCAGCTGCAGTTTTAAGAGCCAGTTGCTCTTCACTCACTGCAAGGCCCAAGGCATGACGGGAAGCGCCTGGCTGTCACCTGATCCAAGAGCTGATTGGCTCTTAGTTTTGACAACAAACACCACAATTTCCGAATTTTCTGTGTGATTTCAATATTTAACTCTAGATTGTAGGCTGTTTCTTGTCTCATGTTGCACAACAAAGGTTTAATCTGTTCTTCTTCTTCTGTGGTTGATAATAAAGTTTATTTATATATCCGAATGTGGTCAGCAAACTATAGGTAGCCTGAAGATGGCCTAACCGGATGTTAACATTTTGTGATTTCCTGTATATGCTTTGAAGGCTGCTCTAAACTGTCCGACTTGACTGCAGCTTTTTGCCTGCTGCTGCTGCCTGATCTCATCCACTTTTCAGGCGAGGCACAGTTCAAGTCTGCTCCCTAGTTAGATTGTGACACTGATGTTCAGAAATATTTTTACAGATAAGGATGTGTCTTTCTTATCATAAAAATGTTACTGTTACTGAGCCCTGTGTTATTTTGTATGGGGGATGGGGTCATATTTTTATTGTTGTTACTGTGTGTTGTGTAATGAAGGCAAACAAGTATTCATGTTTTATTTCATTACACTGTTTTTTATTGTAGTAGTAGAGTATGTATCTGTATAATTGCACCTGTGTTAAGCTCTCACAGAAGACAAACCTTTACATTAATTCTGTGCTCATACCTTGTACTGTCTTTGCAGGCATGTCCTTGTTCTGCAGGGGTACCTCAGTATGTGGCCCAGGGAACCCAAAAGCCTCTGCTCTCCTCTGGTACTCCTGCAGCAGTTTCCCAGCCCACTGGGCCTGAGCCTCCATGGCTCCACTGTGGCGTTCCCAGTGACGACATCCATCAGCTGTATTGGAGCAGCAGCAAAAAGGCAGGTATGATTCAGCAACCACTCTAGGCTCAAACACCTTCCTGTCCTGACCTGTTATCTGTTAGCTGTATGTTGAAGTTCGCTTAAAATTGTTTAGCTTGACATCTTTGTTTAGTTATATGTCTGTATCTGTAAAGTTGTCCTCTGCACTGTGTTTAAGTTAATTGAGAGCTACCCAGAACTCAAATTCCTTGCATGTGTCAACAAACATGGCCACTTTTCAAAGCTGGTATTCATGGTATGTGCTCACATTATATGCAGCTATATATACATACAGTATATAATGTTGTACTGTGTTGATATAAAATCTTTCTTCTGGTAATATTCCCTTCAAAGACAGTTTTTTTAATCAAACACAATAGCAAAATAAAAGTTTTTTTCTAACTGTGTTTAATTGACCGTAATCAGCTCCAGAGGCGACTCTGCTGTTCTACATTCTACACTTGAGGAATTCCACAAAGAATAATAGCACTGGGCACTCTCTCCCAGGCCATTAGTCTGCTTGAATAGTAATCCCCCTAACAGCTAGTCCTGAATGAATGCTGCAGTCACAGTGGGAGCAGGACAGAGCCTCTGGGAAAACTATTGCAAAATCAAAGTCAGAGAAAAGACCCATCATCACACTCACCAGGTCTGTGGACAGGATAGTAGTCAAAACCCAGCTTCCTGAACGTCAGCTGCATGGCACCTTGCAAGCCCGGTGGGGGAGGCTCATCTATGCAATATCACATAAAACATAAAATCATATTAAAAACAGCTTGACGATTTGTTGTGTTTTAGGAATAACCATACGCACACAATATTGGCTTTATGTTGTAGTAAAACAGTATAAATATACTTGAGTTACAATAAAGACGACATGTTTATCCTTTCAGGCACACTGAGCTTTTCCAACAAACCTTCATCCACTGACGAACTGTCATTGCATATGTGTAAGTCCAAGCGGGATATGAAGGTGTGATAAGAAGACTCCTTTACGTCATAGAGATCAAAGTATTGACTCATGTTGCTGGGGGTGCCAGTAGGAGCGGGTGGGGGCTCTGTCCAAAGGCTGTGGAGGCCAGGCGATGGAGGAGCAGTCTGAAAGACAGAAAAAATAAAAACATCTAAATTACCATTTGACAAAATTAAGAAAACTTATATTGCAACATAAATGTAATAGGGAAACAAAAATAAACATATCCAGATATAGTCTCGTGCCACCTTATTTCTGGTTAAAAGCTCCCAAGCCTTGGCTTTGTCATGACAACTGCAAACTAATCTGTGAATACACTGAGCATGTTTTATTTATAGTGACATAACTTTATTTACATGTCCTGTGGAGGCAAACTGAGAAAACTGTTGAAAGAGCTTATGTTTGGCTTTCACAGTTTATTATTTATATCTGTAGCACCTACATTTGTTTTGAGTCATAGTCATAAATTATTCATATTTTCAGGGAAAAACAAACGAATTAGGATAAAAATCACTTTGCATGTAAATTGACTGTATTGTATTTTTATTTCTTAAATTTTTCTGCTGCATTTGTGTGTATAAATAGTGTGTATAATAGTTGCACATTTTCATAGGTCAGATACAACACAATAATAAATAAATAAAATAACATTACAGTTATTTATCTGACGTTATTCAGAGCAACACACAGTAAGACTAAAATCAGACTTACAGTTGAGTTTGTGCAGAAAACATTTTACTATGCACATGGAGTAAGAAGCAAAGATCAAAATAAATGCTTTAAAAGTCAGATAAATAACAGATAAATAAAGCCTAGCAGGAGCCATAGTTTATATTGCAAGTATCACTACAATTCCTTCCTACAATGACAAGTCAAAATATCTTCTGTGAAAAAGGCCTATTGAGTTTTCATTACCAAATATCAAATCAATTACAACTGATTTAGAAACAACAATTATTGAGAGACGTGGCTTCAGATGAATCAGCCTCATATGCTTTAAGGTTGACGATGCCTGAAATTTGCCTGTAGAGTCTGTACTTAAAGCCCTTTAAAGTATAATATTCTACTTCACACTGATTTTTCATTCATTCTGATTTTTAACATTCATTAACAGGATGAAGGCAGGACCTGTAGGGATTCAGCAGTCCTGCTCTTCCTCTGCTGGGCAGACTTCTCCATGGCCTCACTGAGAGATTTGGCGTAATGGATGATGGCCTTGAGCTGAGAGTCCGTCAGAACCCACAACAGGTCATCCAGAATGAAAAGCAGCTTAGATGCCAGCACATTGCAGTCCTTTATCTGGGATAGAACAATGAAGACTTACACTTGGCTTGTGACAAATTTGAAATTTAAATGAGGTAACTTTTGTGATTTTTACCAATTTCATGACAGAATAGAAAATTAAAGGTAGAAACACAATCCTACTCTGCGTTTTAAAGCGATGCGAATGCGACCCTGGTTGGTGATGAGACGTAATGGGGTGCTACCGAGGTCCTGGTCATCACTCTCAATGGCATCCGCCTCGATACGTAGACTCTGCCAGTTAATTTCTTTGAATGTCAACACCTGATGGGAACAATAAACACATCAACCCATTCCAGCTATGATCAAACACAAAGAAACTAGGAGATAAAACCAAACCATGTTCTGACATTTATATGGAATGATTGGTATCAGTGTGGCTAATTTTTTTTTAGACACAGAGAAAGAAAGGGCAACAGACACATTTCCCTTTAAGTAGATTACCTCATGAAAGGTTGTTCATCTCAATATAGTCCCTGCAGCTAATGAAAATTATTCATTGCAGGCCTAATGAGCACATACTGTTTCCGTGGTGAAACACTGTATTCAGTTTTTCAGAGCATTCAGAGCAGTGTTAAAGCTGGGTGAGGAGAACAATATAAGTGTGCCGCTCTGTACCTCTCCTCTCTTTGGGTCGGTGACGCGGGTGTAGCGGAGGTCACTGCGCTGCCATTTGGGGTTGAGACTGTTGCCTTGTAGCTGCCAGAGCTCGAAGGAGGCGTGGAAGGCACGAGCCTGCACCTTGATGGTGATGGAGTTGATCCGAACAGACATGCCCTCTACCACTTTCTCTGCAAAGCCGTACTCGCTGTAAATGCACAATATAAACGTGAGCAAAGGCAATGTTCATCGTATACACAACACGGGATGAAGTATTTGTTTTGGCTTAACGCAAGCTGTATGCAGTCTTACCTCTGGCCTGCTGTAATAGCTATGGGAGAGGGGCCATTAGGTGGACGTGGCTCCTCACATGTTCTCATTTCTACCTCTACCTTATCCAAGAACTACACAAAAGAGGAAACAGGGCTACTCAGCATACAATTGAGCAAGGTCGAATAGATAACATGGCAGAGAGCGCAACCTATGGAACAGTGTAGCAAAACAGTAAAATAACTATACAGGGCGTTGCTAAAGTCATGCCAAAGTTAAGTTATTTTTGGAAGGGAGAAGCTTAGTGTTGCAGAAATGTGCAAGCCATTCTTACCAGGCAGATGGGGCTTGTTTTCAACTTTGTCCATTGTATCTAAAAAGACAGGAAGGTCCACAGAGTCAGTCACAAACACTTGCCACAGCGTTCTGCACTGTTTATTATTCACTGGGCACAAGGGCACAGTGAACATCAAGCTCCTACAATGTGACGCAAGTGCTACAACAATAACTGCCACAGAGTCCTACTGCCATATCTACTTAACAAATCGAATATATGGGAGGCACGATTAATCACGTCCCCACAGTGTTGCATGGCAGGGGAGAATACCGTTAGAACTATTTTTTCCTCCAAATACCCTTTTTGAATTTCAAATTTGTTTTCCAGTCCAGAAAAGTGGAAGTAACCCGAGATCATTATTGAACCACACCTGTGCAACTGGGCACTAAATACTCAGGTTGTGGTCTACTCAGTGGTTAGATTGAATAGATTTAAACGGTTATTTGTCAGTCAGTAGTATGTTCAATTGATATTCTGTAATGCAATTCCAATAGCGCTAACCCAACTTTCTATTTCTATTTTGAAATTTTAAGAATAGCTTTGCTAAAGAAACATTCCTGTTAATTCCAGCTTATTATAGGCACTATTATACACTTGACACTGAAACAGGAACCCCAGGCCTCAATCAGTTTTTGTAATTCTTAATAACAATAACTGCAACACTGTAAACTGCAGTGCAGATGCAAGAATCTGGCGATGCAATACATATCGCAATACAGCAGTTACAATTTAATATATTGCAATTTAAACAAAACACAAAATCTAATTTTAGGAAAACTAATCACAACCATGTGCATAAACTCTGAGCTAAAGTTGACTTTTTTATGCAACCAGAACAGTGGGATCTGCATTTGTATGTATTACAGTCCCTGTAACATCCAACATCACAGCCCTCAGTTTGCAATACTGCTATCCAGCTGTTGGGAGGTTTAAACACAAAAAACAATATAGTGTTATTGAGAATTTCTTTATTTTCTTACACCCCTAGTATCTTTGTGTCCCAGGTGCTATTTTTATTGTCTCTGGGAAAACGGAACATCCTTGATTTTGAGCGCTGCTGTAGATGTCACTAGATGACATAAAAGTATCAGAGATACAACTAGCCTTGACCCATGGAGCCCTAAACAAATCATTGTGGATTCTGCTTCCAACACTCGAATGTCTATCTTGTTTATCTTGAAAGCAATTCCTGAGATAGCTGACATTGATAGAGTTAAAAATGTAGGTTGAGACTAAAAAGAAAACTAGTCTACAGGCATAGCAGCAGCTTTGTTAGGCTGTATTTGGGTACAGAGATGCTTTGAACTAAATGCTAAGTATAGGACGCTAACATGTACACCAAAGTACTGGTCATTAACAGAAGTATTGGACACCAAGAATGTCTGTAAAAATGTTCACAAGCTTTCTCAATCTGGACCGAAGTGGTGGACCCAGTGACCAACCGAAGCTCCTAAAAACAAAAAGGCCACTATCTCTGGAAGCCTGAACACAAGACAGCCTTTGAGTCATAAAAGAGTTGAAGATATTTTGGTCTTAATATTAGAACTTTTTAAAGAGGATAGCCAGTGGCATTTTTCTGAAAATAGGAAGAAAATAACAAGTGAATGCCAGCAAGCAGTTGCGAAGGAGAAGTTTTTACTCAGCGTCAGCAGTTATTCTCTGGACTGGTGGCAACAGCACAAACCTCATTAATAAGATACAGCTAAAAGAGAATACTGCTCATACGACAAAATAGGTCAGACTGAATGACAAGGAAATATGTATAAAAACAGGCACACAAAAGATGAAGAATATTACTGGTGAAGCTATAGAAGATATTGAAACCCAAGTTTGGATACTTCAGTCAGTAAAACCATATTACAGCAGGCATATTACAGATGTATATACAGTACATACATGCATAACATAAGTAATACTGTCCTACAATGCTGGCTGACTGTTTGCCTCCTACATTTTGAGAAAGCTCAAGGAGAAATCGAGGTTAAAAAGGTGCAACTATTTATATGTGTATAGAATACACCTAAATAACAACAATATGTATTTTATCACTGAATTCTGTCTTTTACGTGTAGTATTACTGGGATGAATTGGGAACTGACAAGTCAATGCTCACAAGCCAGTATATCTCAGGATCACTCTAGCCTCTGGCCTTTTGTGGGCCTCTGAATCATGGCTTGCCTCTCTATTACCAACAACCAGTGCCAGCCTGACAGATCATGCCGTTCTCAGCGGTGCCCGTAGCAGTGCTTATCTGTGGTACTGACTGCTCATTTCCTCTACGACTGTACGCACTCAAAAACAAGCTCTTTGACAATAATAAACTGAAAACCTTTGAGACTAATTACCAAGATGACATGAGTTATGTAGTGTTTTTCTGTACCAGCTTTGTGTGTTCTTAGAAAAGGGTGACAGCCTCACCTGTCAGAGCAGCTACACAATCAGGTTGGACTAGTCAGTAACATACCCTGATGGCGGCTTTGTTGCAGTAGACCCGAGTGACAGCCAGCCAGGTGGGCAGGTCCAGCATGTTCTGCAGAACCTCTTCATCGAGCTCGAGGTTGGACAGCTGCCCCTCCCCCTTCAGCGTACTCAGATTGATCTTGTCCGGGGACAGGTTCTTGGTGAACCTAAGGAAAGGAACCAGATGAAAAGTGAAGATGAAACGTTTTAGGGTGAATCCTTGCAACCTGCATCTGGAAGAGGTTCGTGTAACTTTTATCTGGGAAACACCCGACGTCATCAGTATTCGTCACTGATGATATGGGAGACAAAAATAGCCAAAATTCAATTATGCAGATGGCCAAGATGTTTTTTTGAAGTAGTGCAACCGAATGAGTCATCCTGGGAAACCGTAGCAGCCTCCGTACTAGTTTCACACAGCTGTAATCCCCATCCAGGCGAACCTCTCTGAGGGTACTAACACAGTGAATACAGCAGCGATGGGAGAAAATCAGTTTGTTAAGTATTTTAATTTCACATACACCACATGACTGAACACTTTCATGACAAATCCCTGTGACATGTTAGACATCAACCAAGAGACAGTGTTGAAAAAGCAGCTGACTAAATGTCAATTAACAGAACTACAGTTTGACTCACTGTTTGGTTAATTATATGAATTAAACTAACAAGACGACACGTGAATGTGGTCCAATTTGTCAAAACATCAGGCCTAACACCATGCCGTACCTGATAAGCCTGATAAGCAAGTCAAAGCTTAACCTTCCCTTTGACTCTGAGCAACAAAATAACGGCCTGGCTTTCCTAAAACGAACACTGCATATTAACTCCCACACCCTTCCACCCTTTAATGAGTCAAGCTTGAGGTGTAGAGCTGGTTCACATGTCCGAAAATACACAACAACTATGACTGGACTGTATTTTTCATATAGTTTCCTTTTGGATTGGCAGACTATAAAGAGGTGATTTGCTGGCACTCATAATTAAGACCTAGATTAGAGCAAACACTAGTGCATAGTGGCGCTATTATTTATAAAACTAGAAATATAGGCTAATTACTAAGATTAGCATGGTTTAAACAGAAATTCCATAGCTTATTGAAGGCAAGAAAGAAGTCATTGTGTGCGCTTTGCCAAAAGCACAACTGTTTGTTAACACCAGGGTTGTTAGGAAAAGATTAACATGAAAAGCCCTTGAAGTGGTCAGTTTAAATCCAACAATTAATCAGAATCAGAATCAGAATCAGAAATACTTTAATAATCCCAGAGGGAAATTATATATATATATAATTAATTATATTAAAAATTCCACTGTATGCAAGTTTTATTTTCAGTTTGTATGTTAGAGCACACTATGAAATTATACAGACTCCAGACTGACCACTTTTTAAGCCAAGAATAAATAAACTCATAAAAGTGATTATTCCTCACAGCAGGATGCAAGATAACTGAAGAAACACCTGGACTCTAAGGCCAATTTCCTGTAAGAACAAGCTATGGTCAACAATAAAATTCTTGCATGTCTATCTACCAAGTATGTGTCCACTGTGACCTATCTGGTACAAATAAATACTTGAATTATTCGGTGACAGAGGCAACAGAGGGGAGGAAAATAGGAGTCAGTCAAATAGAAAGCCTCTGATTTAGCATACACTTGTTGTTCAGTCTTATGATCAGCTTTAGCCTTTACCCCATCCAGCTGGAGCAAAAGACTTTTAAACACATATCGACATTGCTCTCCCACCTAAATTTATTTCTTAACAACGCTCGACAGTGCTAAAATGAGAGAAACAGATATGTTCTGAATAGGGCTGCACAATCTAAATATTACCTAAGTCACAGAAGCTGCAATTTCTTAATGAAGGTCAAATGTGTGACAAAACAGCATTATAATAAAGCACTGTAGTACTGTAGAGATGCCCTGGCTTACAAATATTCTTCTATAGATTTAACAAAACATGTTTGTTTGGAACAGACTCCCCCCATAAAATATCACATCATCATGATTTTAATAGTTGTTTCAAAAATGACTTTTCCCTACACTAATTGTGAATCATATCGCAATATCTGTCAAAATAATCGCAATAATCGGCCTCGTTCTGACACAATAAAACCTAAAAGAAAACAGCAGTCTCTCGGTCTCCTGAGTGATCACATGTAGAAGGAGTAAGACCAGGTATGGGGAAATGGCTGCGAGCCAGGAGCTTCACTGACTATTCTGACATCAAACCTCAGATGACAACATTCATCCTTTCATCCTTTCATCCATTCATTCATTCATTCATGAGCAGTAGGCCAACTTGATACACACACCTGAACAAGCTTAGTCTTTCCCAGAGTTGGGGCTATAAAAAGAAAGGCCCTTCAGTATCTTGATAAATGTCTGTGTGAGGTTATAATTGTTCCAAGACATAAAGATATAAAAAGCTAAAATGCTCCATATCTCTCCATATCACATCTAGAAAACTATTTTTCTGTCTGTCTCCTTGAGGAGATGGCATTGTTTTTAAGCTGTACTTAACAAAAAAAAAAAACTCAAGGAGGAATGATTCTTACGAAATAATCCAAGTTATTTCATTAAATTACTTAAATGTAATTATGACATTTAGACCCTCGGACCACAAAGACATAAAAAATACAAAGTAACGTTAAGCAGTGTTGTATGGGTAGAGCGGGTTCAACAGTAAAGGGAAGGTATTAGGCCCATTAAGTCCAATATATGAGCTTTACACAGCACGTATTAAGGCAGACTGCAGCACATATAACAGTATTAAGGACACTTGATGGATACGTCTGTAAAAAGTAATTTGGTTAACGGTCTGGTTGAACTGGTTTGCTGCGTTCAATGTCTCTGTCAAGTGTCCCAACGTGTAGCGTTGAGCTAACAGATGGTAACCACTGTGGAAATGAATGTAGCTACACGTATAGAGAGCAAATATTGAGTAACAAGCGTTTTCTGTGTTGGTAGGCAGCAACGTTATAAGAAAAATAGCTGGGCTAACCACAGCTAACACAAAAGCCAAAGATAACACTTACCTTGACAAATGTTTCAGAATTTGCTTTTTAATTATTCCGGCCATTTTCTACTAGCGGTTGTCTTCGTATAATATATCACCGGGTCTAAGACAAAACATATACTAGCTTGTAGGTATCTCTATAGTGTACACAACCGTAGCTCTGTGCATCTTTTTAGCCGCCGCTGGCACAGCACAGACTAGCTGCTACCTCGCTAAAGCACCGGACTGCCGCTGACCCCCTTACACACACAGTCTCACACACACAGTCTCACACACACAGTCTCTCACACACACACACACACACACACACACACAGTATCTCACACACACACACACACACACACACACACAACACACACACACACACCACACACACGTTACTCCACCACGGAAACAAGCAAGCTCCAACGACACGACGACACCATCCTGCTGGATGTTCAGGGTAATGCCTTGCTTACAGCAAAGTGATGTTTATGTGCAGTGGTGTGGTAGTGCTGGAGGAAGGTGTATACTCTTAATATATGCCCCCTAGTTTTATTTGTTTTACTTGTTTTTGCAGCCCGTGCAGTAAAGGATAAACGCCCTTTGCTATAAACAATGACATGTAATAGTAATACGACTTTATTGATCCAACACTGGGGAAATTCACTACTAATACTTTGCATATCAATCAGAATCAGGTATGTGCACACATACAAAGGAATTTGACTCCAGTTTTGCGTTGCTGTCATTGTGCATACACAGAAGGAGCATAAATAAACAGGACAACAAGCTCAACAAAATAGACGTAAACTACTATGTACAGTTAAACATATATATAAACGAAGAACAACAATAACATTTGTAGAAACTAGACAAGAGGGTGCAGAGTGCAAAGGATGCTGGACTAAATATTTACATGCAGGTATTTTTATGTAGGCTACATTAGGGAGGTGGATATATATACAGTATGTACAATAAACATTCCTTATTTCTGACTCCATCTACTCATGGAAATTGGATAACTATGTCATGCCTTTGTCAACCTAAAAAAATGAAAAGAATACTACTGAATGATACATCAGAGGGGGTATATTAATGGTTATACCCAATGCAGACTGAAAAATAAGTGGGTATACTCTGCACACACCACTGGCTGTGTGTTACTGACTTTATTAAATCAGGCAGTCTAAGGTAATCAGAGTGTACTGTAATTAATATTCCACATACAGTTAATTCTAATATCCAAGGACTGCCTTTACAACAGCAGATATGTTGACATGTCACAGTAGGAAATGCACAAATATTTAGTAATAACATTTAAAAAAGCTCCCTTACATTCAAGCCACGACAGTGTGACAGCTGAAGCAGTCAAGAAGAATTTAGCCATCATTTACTTTACTAAATGTCTTAAAAAGAGCCTTATCTTATTATCTACTTCCTAAAAATAATAGATGAAACAAACATAACTGACATATTTCCATCACATTTTATTCATTTTGTTCCATCATTTGAGGTGTCCTGCTATCATTATATTATATTAGTAGATAAAAGTACATTAATTAGCATTTTCTTTTGCAGGTTTTCTGAAGATTTGCATTACATTTGGATGGAAACCTGGCTATTGATGTAGTGTTTCAGTATAAGGGTACTGGTTGTTTTCTGGGTCTCTGGTATGGCTGCACAAATTGGTAAAAATAATTATATTGCGATTCTTTTGACATATATTACGATTGCAGTATGATTCACAATTAGTGGGGATTATCATTTTTGCATCACAATTTTCATTTTAACTGAAAAAAACAAAAACATAACGTCATGATGATGTGAAATGTGTTGGGTCTGTACAAAACAAACTTGTTTACTTACATCTGGAGAACAAAATATGTAGGCCAAGGCACCTCTGCAGCACTACAGTACTTCATTATAATGCTGTTTGTCACATTTTACCTTTATCATATGAAAATGTCAGCTTATGCTATTTAAATATTGCACTATTCATATTGTGATTTTGATATTTCAATTAATTGTGCAGCCCTGGACTTTGGGTGCAAAATATAATGAAGGTGCCATCCATAGCACGCTGTGTGCCCTGTGCTTGATGGGAACTTAGAGGCAACAGGGGACAGCACATGTTTGCCCCGGGGCTCACAAACAGGTTAATCTGGCCATGTACAGTATATAGAACACAAAGAACCATAACTAGTCAAGCTGCTCATTTGTATAAATGCAGTATTGCTAAGGAAACAATATTCTTTCACAATATTACATAAAATATCTTGTAAATTCAATACAAGAGATATATCATTTGATGCAATTTGAATTAGTTTACACTTACAGTTAATTACATATGATCATTACTGTAATATATAGCCTAACTATACATATACTTTAATAGTAGAGCTCAGTATTTTATTTTCTTTCTATAAGCAATATTTTTATTGAATTTTTCATATGTGAATGCATATACATACAAAAACACAGTGGTAATAATTAAACAATGAAGTATATACTCATGGTCTTTCCTATGATGACAGGAAAAGAAACATAACATTTCACATACTTCACATAATAATGAGACATAAAAAAAACACTCAGCAACAGATAGTAATTTCAAAATTAATGAGCACCTTGACGTATAAGAAACTCCATTAATGGTTTCCACGCTTTTTCAAATTCTCCTGCCTTTCCTCTGGTTATTTAAGTCAGTTTCTCCAATAAAATACATACATGAATTGAGGATACATCCATTTTTCTCCAAAATAAACTATCATCCTTCTGGCCTGCAGAAGCCCAAAGTCACACAATTCAGTACTACACAAGTTCACAGTCTTTTATAGTGTTTTCAGCAACTATTTTATAACACATATACAGTGTGTTTAAAGAGAAATCACTTCAAAGTTGACTGTTTTGAACTAACTAAATGAAGTTCGGATATATGAGCTCGGTATTCTTCCCCTCTCCTGCAACCCTGTGGCTCATAGGTTGAGGCACAGAAACACAATCATGTGACATGCGCACTCGGCCCTGTTGTTGAGTTTGTTATGACAAGTCGAGGCCTCGGACTAAATTAGGAGCGAAGCCCCCCGTCTCTGTCCAGGCGAATCCGCGATGGAGGGCATGGACCTGGACCTGGACCAGGAACTCATGCAGAAATTCAGCTGCATGGGTACAACAGACAAAGACATCCTAATATCGGAATTTCAGAGGCTCCTCGGGTTTCAGCTAAACCCCGCCGGATGCGCCTTCTTTCTGGACATGACCAATTGGTGAGCTCGGTGACTCGTCTTGGCCTGCTGTGTGTGGTTATATATGCTAGATAACACTGTGCAATAGCTTCCTACCCGACGCTATACACATATTATGTCCTTAGGAGAAAAACAGGAAGCGTTATCCTTCATTGTGACACGGCGATAGTCGTTCACGTTAGGTATGTAAGCGTGGGTACAACGACAGCTAACGACGTTGTAGTAACGTTAACGTAACTAGCGTTAGCTGAGTCACCTCCGACTTTTGACTGCCTGTCAGGGGAGCTTATCGGTGCTGCATACCCGCTTATACGATAAATAAAACTGCAGCTGGCGCACAAGTTCGTGTCAACTTGGGTGTGTCGTTTAAATAAAAATACACCAAAGGCATTATTTAAAATGAATCTCTTTTTTTTTTTACGTGGTTGTCGAGGCTCTCTGCCAGGAGTTGCGAGCACCGATTTCTAAACCAAGCTAGGTCCTACCAGGTGGCTAGCAACTCCAGCTGAACGAATAATTAAAAGTTTATAACTGTATTTCTACTAACTGTCCCAGGCCCCGTTTTCTGTTTAGATATGCGAGGGCTGTGTGAAAACATCAGTCAGTGTGAGGTTATATCGACAAGCCATGATGATCAAACGTTAGGTCTTGATTATCGTTCACCACAAACACACAGGAGGATCTCCACTGTTTGTTACATAACCGTCCAAAGCTCACACAGCACAGTGGTTGTGCAAAACCTGGCGAATGTTTACCCCACTGTGCCCTGGACAAAGTGTATTAATATGTATTTTATACGTAAAGGGAATACTTCGCAAACTGCATTTTTTTTTTTTTTAGGGGGAAGGTTCTAAATATGACTTCCTGTGACTTATTGTGAAAATGAAAGTGTAATAGTGCAAAGAGTGAAAAATGAAAAAAGAAAGTGTAAGGAACCGAAAGGTCATTCTGAGATCTTCCCTTGTATTAATCTTGGTGCGCATATGCAGTGTAAAGCCAACGCAGGCTCTACGGAAGGTAGTGGATAATGGGGGAGAGCAGGCTGTAGTAGTATCACGTGATGCCGTGTAAGAGCTCCTCTGCAACGGGCTTTCTAAAAATAAAAACTGCTGCTTTATGGATGACCAGCATGTCACGGGAAGCACCCATTCGCAGTCTCTCTGGGTCTGCAGAGATCTCGGTTGTTTGCCACCAAGTGTGCATTTGAACCACTCACTAACCGGACACAGAATGATCTCATGGAGAACTTCATATTTTAGCTGAGAAAATAGCAATCTCTTGTAGAAGAACAAAGTTATTGTTATTTTGTTAGCATTAAAATAACCACAGTCCACGGTGCTTTGACGGTATGCCACTAAGACTCATGGGATATGTTAAATATTACTAAAACGATTCATTGTTTGTGTATGTGATTGTAAATTGAATTTATTTGGGTTTTAGACTGCTGGATGGATAAAATAAGCAATTTAAAGAAGTCACCTTAGGCTTGAGGAAAGTGTGACAGGAATTTTTCACAGTGTCTGACATTTACAGAGAGTCAATTATAATAATCAAATAATAAGCAGACCATTAAATAATAAAAAATAATCCTTTTTCTTGATGAAAATGTTGAAATAAAGTACAGTTAAGACCAGCTAGGGAAGGAGGCAGGATACCGGCTCTATATCTGGCCTTAGTTCATTCATATCTGTGCAAACGTGTCGGGTTCCCTCTACACAAACTGTGTTATGCTCTAATTTATATCTGTACTGATCACATTGGTTTCTGTGTTCTTTTGTCCCAGGAATTTACAAGCAGCCATCGGAGCCTACTACGACTTTGAGAGTCCCAACATCAGTGCACCGTGCATGTCCTTAGTGAGGGATGTGACGATTGGTGAGGGCGAATCCGTTCCACCGGACACACCTTTCACAAAGACCTGGAGGATACAGAACACAGGTAAGTCTGCAGGAGTAATAACAATATGGCAGAACACAGAGCTGATACCAGACCTCGTAGATGACTTGCACTCACGTGTCGTGCCGAGTTCAGCATAGTTGTCTGTGTGTCTTCCAGGTGCAGAGTCGTGGCCCCCCGGGGTTTGTCTGAAGTATGTTGGAGGAGATCAGTTTGGTCATGTAAACATGGTGATGGTGCGGTCTCTAGACCCTCAGGAAATGGCTGACGTTAGTGTGCAGATGCAGAGCCCCGTGTCTCCTGGTATGTACCAGGGCCAGTGGAGAATGTGCACCGCCACCGGACTTTACTACGGAGGTGAGGACAGCAAACGTCACACTGCAAACACTGTCTTTCAATAGAAATGCTCAAAAACAGACCGAAACGATTAGTCCATGAATCGGTGAGTCGATCCACAGAAAAACTGTTAGAAACTATTTCTGTAATTAAGTGATCGTTTCAGTCATTTTTCCAGCTAAAATCCCAGACATCCGTCAACTGTACTTGTATAACACTAAATCCTATCAGAGATTATCTCAGGACGCTTTCCATATGGTGTAGGTTTAGACTGTACTCCTTCTAAAATGATTTACCGAGACCCAACAGTTCCAAACATTAGCAAGCCCTTTGCGACAGTGGCAAGTGGCTTTATGAGGCAGAAACCGTGAGCAGACCTGACTATAGGTGGGTGGTCATCTGCCTCTATCAGTGTTGTTGTGTGTATGCTATCCTAAGCGCCAGAATGCCACTGACTTGTTATCTATTAATGACATTACCCAAGCAGACAGGCCCCACCAACATTACAAGTTTTCATCCCAGCTGTCATACTTACTGGATCTTGTATCTCTGATGTGCTCCTCTTCTCAAATATATAATCATTTCTTCTGAACAAATGAGCTGCTGACATGCAAATACACAGCCAAGTACTGTAGTTAGCAGAGGTACGCAACAGTCATTACTGAAGATAAAGTGCTGTATAAATTTGTATGCGTTTCCTTCAGTAAAAACTATTAAGAGACTGGAGGGCCAATGGATTTTAGCACATCCAAATTAAATTAAGAGTCATTCTTTTAATTCATTTATGTCCTCCTGCAAGTTCAACTTGTATGATGGATCCCAGCAGGAAGTCCCTCAAGACTTACCCACTTACAAATTAAGCAGCAGAGGGACACTCAATTAAAAATGATACGTGGCCTTAATATTTCATTTAGGTGTTCGTAACGACAATTCCTCACTTAACACCATTCATCTCCGAGTGGCTTTAAGAGAGAAAAGAATAGCAGACCCGGAGCACTTTAAATCTTTGACGATAACGTGGGTGTGTGGTCCAGCTTAATTTTATATGACATAAATGTTGTTTCAGAGGCTAAATGCTGGTTAATGTAATATTTTGGTTGCTAGTTAATGGAATTTTAGTTGGAGCCTCATACATGTAGGTACAAATGGAGTGTAGAACGGTGTTAGTGGCGTTGCATATTACAACACCATGTTTGTTTCTTTTGGCAGATGTAATTTGGGTGATCCTGAGTGTGGAGGTTGGAGGCCTCCTTGGCGTCACACAGCAGCTCTCCTCTTTCCAAGCTGAGTTCAACACCCAGCCTCACCGTAGCCTGGAAGGAGACTACAACCCCTTCGCCTCGCCAGAGAAAAGCAAGTGCCCCAACAGCAACAACAACAGCCTCCACGATGCCAGCGGTCACAGGGTTGCAGAGCAACATTGGCAGGGAAGCCCCAACGAGCTGCAGCAAGATCAGAATGGACTTTCACACAACTCTGTAGATATAGTAGCAAACAGTCTACAAAGCAATCTGTCAGTAGTCTCTTATAACCAGGTAAGACATATCAAAGAGCAAGGAGATTGTCCTTAGAGTGTGAATCATCATCGAAAAGACAGAACAACTTAAAGATCTGAAAGCTTTCTATAATTAAAAAAATTTGTTACATCTAATCTATAAATAAAAAGTTGAGAATAATGATGATTCTATTTCTCAAGTGCACCGTAGACGCACATTTACAACTCTGTGAATTTATTTTTTATGTATTTTCGTCATACAGCCATCTAGTATTTTCAGTATCAGCTAATCTGCAGATTATTTTCTTGATTAATCAACTAATTGTTTGGTGTAGAAATGACTGCGAATGAGGTACTTATCCAAAGTCAGTGTGTTACCCACAGTAGATGGCGGTCAGCGTGCAGTTTGGAGAAGCAGACAAGGGTCCCGGCAGGGAAGCAGACTAAGGCACTGCTGTGGAAAGGGGCTGCAGGAAAAACGTATTTTAGCAACATCAAAATACCAGAACTATCTCTTTAACCGATTATCAACTGACTAATTAATTAATTGCCTACATGTTTCAGCTATACAGCCAACATTTGTATGTGCATATAATGACACAGCGTTTCGCCAAGACACAGAGAAATTAAAAAAACATTATTACTTTTGTCTCATTTAGCCAATTTCCTTTATATTTCGCAGCCCTGCTATTTCTGTTTTTTTAATCACTTCCCTTCCTTACAGGGTATACAGGAGCCCTATCCTTTTGGGCACTCTTAAATCATGGGACTTGTCACAGTGAAGCAGCACTAAACCGTACCTCTGGAGTCTGTCACACCAATAAGAGAAAGAAGAGGCTTTATCAGTAGCTGGCAGAGAGTGTGGCGATTCAAAAACACTTTATGCAAAGTCCAGCTACACTTTGAGAAACTAGAGGCCAACGCTCCTGACGTGCAGCTCAACCAACATCCCACAACCCACTGTATGCACGTGTGAATGCTAAGTTAAAAATGAGTGCTATGAGTCTTTTGAGTGATAACTTTTTCTTTCTTTTTTCCAGATATTTTTTTTTAGTTGTCAGAGTGCAAATGAAACAATGACAGGAGTGTGTATTTGTGAAATTGTGTGTATACGTGTGTGCATTGTGCAACCTGAAAGAGAGACTTTGGAGGAAAAGCCATTTATTTTGCCAACTGATTCTCCAGTTTCTGCTCTGACTCTTGGTATAGCGATTCAGCTCCCTGTAACTAAATCTATTAATATGGCCGTCGCTGAAACCAACCATTGGATATCATTATTTACTTTTTATCTTAAATTTTATTATACCCGTTTTAAGAGAAGGGGAACAGCGACACCCCTAAGAAATATATCTGAAGCTCATTTAAAAACCCATCAGTCTTTCAACATGGCTTGTGCATTATGGGTCATTATGTTCTATGCTGTTATGGTACCTCCAATTTCAGATGCAATGTAGTTTTTTCTCCACTGGAGGGAGTCAGACATTACTCTTACAAACCGAGTATAAGCTCAACACTAAGACACAAACTCTTACTCACATATAGTTCCTGTGATTTGGTCAACTCTATCATTCTTTTTGCTAAAGCTAGAATTTAGAGCCTTCTGTAGTCAAACATTGTTTTTCTTCAACTACTGTAAATAAAAGTAACAAAAAACATTGACATTTGATTTGGTATGAAAGCTTAAAGTCCTTTGAGACTGAAATAAAGTCATTGCTGGCATTTACATACACATTATAAAAGATTAGAAGAATATAAGCAGAATATCCATTATTGGTAATAATGCAGTATTAGAGAGTCATTGTTGGAATCTAAGATTTATTTAGTTTTACAAGCAACACAGAATAACAATTAATGCACAGTATGCCATCAGACATTGATTTCAAGCCATATAAAAGGTAAAGTTAACATCATGAAAACATGGATTTTTGTCACTCTGCTCTCAATTTAAAATTTTCACATCATATTAAGTTGAATGTATTTGATGAATGTATAAGAGGGTACTGTTTTGGAAAACCTATTAATTTACCCAAAGATTCGACATTGTATATTTGCATTGAACTGGGAGTTTTATTAGTGTAATTATTGTTCTGAATTTTCTCTTGTTAAAATTATGCATCGATGAGCTTCTTAAACACAATTTAAAATTTGATCCTGTTTTTTGATCATTTCAGATGCAAACTTAACCACACCAGTAAAATGACAATGAAATGAATCGTGTTGTCTCAAAGAATTGTTACTGCATATTTACTTGCACTAACAGGCTGATCTATGCACAGAGTAATGTGACCTCCATGACCAGGCCTGTGCTTACTTTTCTCCTCCATGAGTACTGTTGAGTCCCGAAGGGCTTATCAACTCTGTGATTTTATCTGTCATCCACAGCCAGTGAGTTAGACCACCTGGTCAGGTAAACACCCTTCTCATTAAGGCACTAACTGTAAGCCCCGGGGTAACTGACCTTTGACAACATGACAAAACCAGCCAATAAATACTACAACATGTCACATGGATCTCTGGGCTTCTTGCTGTTTAACACAACATTGTGCATTTTCTGTGCAAAATGTGAATGATAAATGATCCTCTCTGCTGTCAAAGGTATTTGCTGTCTGTCAAGTTCATCAAGTGCAAAGTGTATTTTCTTCTTTGTGTAATATCTCTGAAGTTTCCACTGGCCAGATTGCAGAATGAATCAGTTGGCATTAGACTCATACAACAGCACATTTATGAGAGTGAGGAAGTGCAAACAGATGAAAGCTTTTTTCCCGTGTGTTTGATGAATGTTTGTATGATTAAATTATCACTGAAAGCTAAAGTTTTGGGCTTTTTGTCATGTTTGTGGTGCATTGTTCATTTACAGTTTCCAGGGAAAATGTCGACGGATCGCGAGTCATGATTTTACACAGTTTCAAACACCATGTTTTCTATTTTCAACACATTTTGTTCTTCATTTATGGTTAGATTTCTCTTTGTTTTTATATATTCTAACCACGATTAGCTTCTAGGACACAACACAATGTAGTCTACTGTCAAACACATTAGATATTTTTGGCATCTTGCATTCATAAGTGATGTTACATTTTAAGTGGAAATAAGTGCATGGCCACTGTTATGCAGTAGTTTTACCAAATGTTCATGTGCACTGCTACAAATCTTTTTACACATATACTGTTTTAGGCAAATTATGCATTTAACAGCCATTTTAAATGGCCCTTCTAGGGCTAAAGAAACATTTGAATTAAAGCATGTAACAACACTGCTGCATAATTAAATGCATTATTATATAAAGCACATTAATGTGCACTTGGGGACTGAATTTACATACGCTACCTGCTCTTTCTCATTGTATTTCCAACAACCAAGCCAGGTTTCAACATTCAGTCGCTGCCAATCAAATATTAAAGCACCACAGATAAATACACATTGACAATAAGGCGGCTGCATGATGGTTTTTTTTTTTTAAGAAAAGTGACTGCGGTTCAAACTTGAAACATGACCAGTAGATAAACACCAGGTTCATCTGATGTAGTTTTTCTCTCTTTCTGCACTTCAAAGAGGTATAAGATTACACGTTAGCCTGGAGGTTTACTGGTCACAGGGAGCCTTGCAATTTATTAGGGATTGTATCTGTCAACGGCTCTGTCTAGCAGCAGTCTGCAGAACCAAACTGCCTGATTGAGCAACACTCACTTTTTGGGCTTTTATTGCCTTT